GCACTCGGGGAGGCAGAGGCAGGTAGATCCCTGTGAGTTCAAGGCCAGCCTGGTCTCCAGAGTGAGTGCCAGGATAGGCTCCAAAGCTACACAGAGAAACCCTGTCTTGAACCCCCCCCCAAAAAAAAGAGTTTGAGACTAGTCAAAACAAAACAAAGCACAAAATGAAACAATGAAAGACTCAAGAGGTGAGTCTGAGCTCTGGTGGCAGACAGATGTGACAAAAGATTCACTTCAGCAAATGGTAACACCTTAGTCTCAGGACATTTATTCAGAGTCACATAAAAGTAAGTGGCATTTGCCAGAAGTAGGTGTGGAATGAGTACTAGACATTTGTTGCTATCTTGTGGTGTCTCAGATACCCAATAGCTGCCCTCTTAAGTAAGTCACTCTTGATGACCACATCAGTACCATGTCGTCTAAACCTATGTCTGGCCCTTGTGATCTTAATTTTCTCACCAGGACTTTTGAAGAAAAGGTGTTTTATTTAGCTTTGGATAATTAAGGTCCAAATGGCCTACAGCAGGAACAATGAAGAATGCCCTTAACATCACCTTATGTCACAGGAGGATAGGAATTGTGAAAATGTGTGTGGGCAAGTAAGTTATTTTGAACCAGGTGCATCTTCTAAACCATCCTCTCTTGAGAATCACCTAAGAGTCTCATGAGAGCTGCTTTCTGTGGGAGGGCTTGACTCCCAGAGGTTCTACTGCATCCTAGGAGTGCTATCCTGTGCCACAAGTCTTCATTCACAGTTCATGCTTTGGGGACATAAATAGCACTTAAAGGACAATCTTGTTATTGAATAGAAGAAAGCTAGTCTCCCACTATTAAGTTTGTAGGCAGACTTTAATCTTTCTCTATATAATATGGAGCCCTAGTACTCAATGTCAGATATTCCCCTAATCTAGATACCCTCTGATTTATTGTTCCTGGGGAATGAAACAGCTGTTCTTTGGTGTGGTAATTGCCCATTTACAGGAAACTGGAGAAGGCAATCTATGGTCTATGCATTTCTTTCCTTCCTTCCTTCTTTCTTTCTTTCTTTCTTTCTTTCTTTCTTTCTCATTTATTTATTTATTTATTTATTGAGACAGAGTTTCTCTGTGTAGCTTTGGAGCCTATCCTGGTACTTGCTCTGGAGAGCAGGCTGGCCTCGAACTCACAGAGATCCGCCTGCCTCCACCTCCCGAGTGCTGGGATTAAAGGCATGCACCACCACTGCCCGGCTTAAAGCAAGTCTTAATAGATACAAAAAAATTGAAATAACCCCCTGTATCTTATCATATTACCATGGATTAAAGTTGGAGTTCAACAAAGTATTTTCTAAAATGGTTGAACCATGTGATACTCTAGCTAACAATCTTGGAAGTCACTACTTCTTGTCCTTGGCAGCAATATTGGATTACAGTCATTCAAATTGAGGTGTAGTAGAATCTCATTGAGTTCACAATGTGTGTATCCCTAATGGTTATGTTATGCACTTCGTTAGGGAGGTCTTGAGGACCACTCTCAGATCTGATGACTTGCTAGGAGTACTCACAGCTCTCAGCACACAGCTCTAATGATTACACAGAGAGAGGACTAACACAAGGGAGAGCTACTGAGGCTGAAGGCTGCTGGGAAGCAGAGTCTTTTGCAGAGGCCTTGCCGAAGATCAGGTTAATCACCCAATAAATGAAAGGCTGTCTGGTAGGGACTCTCAGTAGAGAATCAATTCTTAGGGTTCTTTCCCCTCCTCTCCTAGCCCTATGTTTTTTCTCTTTCCCTTCTCTTCACCTTCTTACCCAAAGCTCTTCTCATTTGAATTTGAAAGGAGATTGAGTATATTCTGCTGCAATGCAAAAAGCCAGCCCTGCTTGTGAACAGTGGAAGCCATTGTGGTGTCAAAGAACTTGATAATGAACTAACTTGTTGATGGGAGGGTGGCCGTGATTCTCATCTCTAAAGGGCTATTTCACCGAGAGGCTGATTCAGAAGTTTATACATGATCACACTGGTGGGTACCTTCTCCTAAGTGGAGCTTTGTGGCTCAATGGCTCATCTCTGATCCTAACTGTTTAGTAATTATTGTGTGTATGGTGTGGTGGTGTGTGGACAACTTTGTGGAATCAGTTCTTTTCTTCAGTTTTACATGGTTCCAGGGATCGAACCCTGGCTTTATGCCAAGGCTTTCATGCCAAGTACATTGACCCACTGAGCCATCATGCTGGCCGCTCACCTCTGACTTAACTGCATAGTTGTGACATCCTCTACAGTTTTGCAAATCTTCATTTCCTCAGGCTATTTTTAGCACTGATTGGTTTGCTCTTGTAGTTCCTGACAAACTCAAAGAACAGGACAGAAGGGCCGCCTGGGGTCCCTTTGTTCATCACAACTATATACTCACTGTAATGAAAAAAACACTCATTACCTGATCATTTTGAATGACAAGGGCCACAGGAAGGTAGTGAGTTGGGCAATTAGTACTTATCTCAAAACTTGACTTCACTTCTGCTAGCAGGTTCATGAATACATAACAAGGTTTAGGTAGCAGTGAAAAGAATGCCAGTCCCCAGCATCAGTTACTTTGTAACAACTACATTGTGGATCCTGTCTCTTGACAATGAACAGTGTGTGCATATGGTGGACCCTGTCCTTGGCAATGAACAGTGGGTGCACATGGTGGACCCTGTCTGATGGGGAAAGTACTTCTGTGTATGCTTATCTTATTGATTGTTGAATAAAGTACTGTTTGGCCAACGGCAGCAAGTTAGACAGGACTAGGAGTCAAAGAGGATTCTGGGAAATGTAGTAGAGAAGTGGTGATCCAGGCCAGAAGTGACTTAGCAAGGAGAAAGAGGAAGTGCCCCTTTTTCCCCTTCCTCCTCCATCGGCGCCATGTGAGCAAGAGAGGGTGCCAGCGAAAGGCATCCTCTATAAGATAAGTCTTATAAAATATATAGATTTATGATAATTAAGACTGAGCTAACAGATGAGGAATCCTAGTCATTGGCCAAGCAGCTTTGTACCTAATATGTCTCTATTATTTTGTCCATCCATGAGGCAGGCAGAACTCGGGTGGCAGAGACCGCCCATGTGGCAGTAGGGCTCAGGTGGTTTTGGTGGAAAGATTTATCGTAACACCTGTCCTTGGCAATGAACAGTGTGTGCACATGGTCGACCTTGTCCTTGGCAATGAACAGTGGGTGCACATGGTGGACCCTGTCCTTGCAGGATTTGGTTTCTAAAAGTTCCCATTTCTCTCTCTGAGGCCTTCTTCCTCCCCTTGTTCCATCTCACATTTTTACATTTCCCCTTTACCAGAAAGGCAAGAAGTAGCTTTGGGTTCTTAAAAATGATGGTTAAACATTGTGCCTGTTTGAGTTTATGTTTTTGTCTTTCTACAACCCAGGTTGGAAAACTATAGTTAGATAGTAAATATTATAGCTTCTGTGGGTAAAGTGGCAAAATCAGGAATGTTTCTGTAGAATGTAACAAAATTCAAATCTTTATAGACAGTGAAACTAGAATTTGATGTTTCACAGTTCATGTAATGTTATTTTAATTTTCAACCATTTAAACATGTCAAACATTCTTAACTCAGTGACCTACCAACTAGCTACCAACTGAATGTGGACAGCCGGTAATGATTTGCTGACTTCTGTTTTAGCCTGGCATGGAAGAAAAACCTAAAACAGTACACAACAAGTCAACACTGCTGCAATCCATGATTCCTCAGACTCTTGTGGACCAGACTGACGATTTGAATTCCAGCCCTTGGACCCTCAGGGTGGATAGAGAGAACCAACTTCTCCAGGCTGTCCTGTGACTTCCACAGGACTTATGGCACACTCCTGTGTGGCTCTCTCTGCAATAAATAAATGTAAATAAGAAAGAAAGAGAATCAATAATGTTTAAATCCAAACATTCTACTGGAGAAGTATACTGTGTAGTATACTCATGTACATTTTTGTTTGCTTTTGAGACGGGGAAAGGACTATGCAGCCCAGGTTTGTGATCTTGCCTCATTATTCCAGGTGCAGGGGTTCTAGGCTCCTGCTACCACGTCCAGCTCTAAAGTGAGGGTGTGGGGTGTGGGGGCTTTGATCTAGCTTTATCATCAGAACAAGCTGCTAGCTTGTGAAAACACGATTCCCAGAATTGTTTTGTTTTTGCTTCTTTGAAATAGAATGAAGTCTCACTTTGCAACCCAGGCTGGTCTTGAACTTTTGACAACCTTCCTACCTCAGCCTATATGTGGGGTCACAACCTAAGCCATCGAGTTGTGCTCACATTAGAAGTTATTTAATAAAGGAGATTCCAGGGCAAATACCTACAGTGTTTTTCAGGACCAATTAGCTATTAGGGGTGAGAGGTCAGAGGGCAAAATCGAATCTCCTAAGCTGTGGGCCTTGAAGTGTGGTCTATGGACCAGTATCATCAAGAACTTGTAAGAGATGCATATTTTCTGGAGCCCAGATCTCCGAAACAACAGAAACTCGGTGGGGCCTGGCAATCTGGTTCTCATCAAGCCAGGTGGTTCTGATGCTGCTAGCATTTGAGAAGCCCTGCTTCCAGACATCATTACCAGCAGCTGGAGAGGCAGCGAACCACCTGAGCAAAAGGGGTGGGCCCTCTCAAAGGGCTTTGTTCTTAAGAACAGAGGGAGGCCTGTGGTTGAGAGCAATTCCAAGATGCCTGGCAGCCAAGGCACAGATTTTCCAGGAAGAGCTGGAAATAGGATTCAGGATCAACATTCTAGAGGTCAGGACATGCATTTTAAGGAGTACAATGTGTCCTAGAGATGGCAGGCGCCACCCTAACAAAATATGTTTCAGTGTCTTTGCATTATGTGACATGGATTAACTCTGGGACCCAGAGGCCTTCCAAAGCCCTCCAACATATCCTCCGTCTTCTTCCAGGTCAAGTGGGAGAGTCCTTGTCTTGAGTCTGCCGGCGAGGTAGTGTGAGAGGTCTGACCTCACAAGAGGTCCTTGTGATGTCATTGCCACCTCAAGATGCCCTCCTCTGTGAAGGTCACAAAGGACTCAGTCTGGACCCTGCGGCTTGCAGGGGCCAGGCTGCTGGTGGCAGGTGTGTGCTTCTGGCGGCTAGAGGTCGGGAAGCATGTGAGTCGGGCTGGCGAGCGTTCTGTGCTCGGTGCTGCTTGTTTGCGCAAGGACAGCTTCAGGAGGGGAATAGACGACAGAATTTCGCTAAAGAAAATCCAGCATCTATTAAGGTCCTTGAGAAGTGTGCGGTGGTGGACGCTCCGAAGTGAAGGATGGTGAAGCGGAAGTGTATCTGCGATCTCTGCTCCTGCGGGTAAGGTGGTCCCCCAAGGTCAATAAGGGTGAGGGCTTGATTTTCACACTCCCTAGGGAGCCACGCCAGAGAAGATAGTAGTATCTTTATCCCACTGCTTCCCCCGGCAGCAACGTTTGTCAACTAGCATTTGATGCACCCGTGTTGAAAAAGCGTCCTCGTGTTGAGACATACTTCTGTGGTCCTGCAGGGACCTTGAGAGTGGACCCGGTCAGGCCTTGTCTACATACTGTCAGACAGGCTAGAACCCTCGCCAGGTTGAGGCCAGTATTGCTGCAATTCTTAGGATGGAGAAGAGTTCTTTTATGTGGGTGAATTTCCCACTTACAGAAATTGGTACTTGGTCTGGGAAGCGCGAGGCACTGGCACCAGCTGGTGCAGTGTTGACCTGAACAAGGATCACCAGGGAAAGTACTTTGCAGTCTCCCGCCCAAGCTTAGTGGGATGCCTTTCCACCACTTGCCTTTAAGACGGACCATGGGAGGTGAAGCATAATGAATGCAGGGTTTTGGGGAAACATTTTGGGTTGCCATCTCTGAGATGGTCCTTCTGTCTGTTTTCCCAGGACAATTAGAGAGCTGCAGGACTAGGCCAGCCAGGGGGCAGCAGAGGGGCCGTATGTAAGAGGGTGGGCTCTGGATTTGCTTCTCAGCCTTCTGGCTAAGACGAAGTGAAGAGGGTGGGCTCCGGGGTTGACCCTAACTGTGGCATCTTGGATAGGCAACTAAACTTCTCTGCATTAAAATTTCCTTATGAATATTTCCCTCAGAGGACCATTATAAATAAAGGGATAATGTGTGCCACTACTGCATATGGATTCTACTTTCCCCTGTTGGCATCTTGAGATCTGAAAAAGGGTTTTCCAACTGTAGCATGTTACATGAAATAACATAATGACTGTATTTGGGAGAATAGGTTAAGGACACTCTGAAAGCAGAACCCTTTGAAATCTCAGCAGTGACTGGACTGCAGCCCTGGCTGCTAGTCAGAGTCTACTGGGGAGCTTGAAAACAGGTGTCATTGCTCCTGCTTAATCAGCAATCTCTAAGGACAATCCCACCAGCAGTCTACAGACACTTCCTGCCATTTCTCAGGACCCTGAACTCTGTCACATACAAGTGTGGCCCTTGCTGTCAGAATTTGTTAGGTGGGACTGCAGCAGTGTTCACGGGTAAGTTTTTGCATTAGTGAAAACTCGGTTTTTGTTTAAGACTTGCCTCCTTTTGGGGCCTTTCTCATCACCCTTTGGTTCCCATTCTGCTCTTAGCTTCGGGGTTGAAGTCATTGAGTTCCATCTTTGCACAGCATGCAGTCTTAGGTAGGAGGGTGGGGCACTCACTGGAGAGGCTTAGTGTATACAGTCAGATGCCACCCCACCTATCGTGGGTGCACATGAACACAAGTTTATCTTATTCAAACCTTTGTGTGTGTGTGATTGTGTTTTGTTTTCCAGACAAGGTTTTTCTGTGTAGTCCTGGCTGTCCAGAATTCTTTCTGTAGATCAGCCTGGCTTAAAATTCAATGATCCACCTGTCTCTGCCTCTTGGGTGCCAGGATTAAAGGCATGTGCCAACATAGCCAGCCAGTGCACATATATATGCAGGCAAAAACTCACACACATAAAATAAAAACCCGCATGAGTTAAGTGCTTACCATACTGCACTGAGATGTGGAACATGTCCATCACCCCAGAGTTCTGCTGGTCAAGGCTGCACCTTTCTGTCCCCACCCCACTTAGATGCACCCAGAGGCTGTTGGGGTAGAATGGATTTTGTAGGGGTTCTCAGCTCTAGAAGTTATGGTTTGTGGAGATTTCTAACCTAAGAAGTTAAGATGGGATCTAAAAGAAAGGTTTGTGCCATGAACTCCCTTGGGGAAGTGGGGGTGGGGGGAGACTGGAGCTTCTGAGGGAGTCACCGGGATGCCTCTTTTTAATCCAACTATAGCTCTTGAAAACAGGACTTCTAGAGTGGGAAGGAAACCACATTTATTAGAGCGAAGATTTAATACTTTTTTCTCCATCCTTCTCCCCACCCCTTCCATTTTTCCTCCCCCCCTTTTTAAAGACAGAGTATCATGTAGCCCAGACTGGCCTGAAACATACTGTGTAAGACTTTGAACTCTTCTTCTTGTCTCCATCCCCCAAGCCCTGGGATTACATGCCTGTACCACTATTCCCAGCTTTTCTTTGTTTTTGAGTTTTGTTTTTAGCCTTGAACTCGGTACCCTCCTGCCTCAGCCTTCCCACTTCTGTGATTGTAGGCATGTGCCACCATGGGTGTCTCCTTAAATGCACTTTCAGCTACAGTACATGGTACTCATTAGTGGGGGAAGGCTTCGGCAGCTGCAGAAGGTTTCCATCCAAAAGAGCCACTATCTCCTGGGAACCAGCCACCAAAGGATAAGTTCTTAAGTTCTGCCACAAGATGGCAGCCTTTTCTCAGCCAATCCTCATAGCTGGTTCAGCCAGTCTAACTTAAATGGAAAACAAAATCTTTGAGGTTTTGAAGTTTCCTTCCTTGAATTTTGTTTTTATTTTATTTTTTAAATAGGTTTACCAAAAGTTTTCTAAAACGAGCAACTAGACAGCATTTAGGGCCTAGTTTAGCTGAGGAAGGTGTTATTCCTCAAGGAGCTGAATACAGATTAGAATGAAGGTGTTTCAAATATGTACAATCAAAGATTCTACCACTCATAAAACTTTAGGGAGCTTTACTAGTTTAAGGAAACCAGACATACTTCACTGTATCAAAACACACTCCACAGCCTCCCTTAACAACCAAAAGCTGACAACTGGGACTCTACTGTCGTATATTGTAATCTTTTTAAATATGCTCAGTACCAAATAAGCAAAGGTGAACATTCATAGGTTGCAGAAAGACAGTAAAGTCAACAGTTAAAAACCCAGACATTGTTTATCTCCATATAGCTGCAATCTCTCTCTCTCTCTCTCTCTCTCTCTCTCTCTCTCTCTCTGTGTGTGTGTGTGTGTGTGTGTGTGTGTGTATGTATGTATGTGTATGTGGGTATGTTTTAGAAAAGTAACCCCAAAAGAGGGGATTTTTCTGGTTGCATCTGAAAGCCACCAGTTTTGCCTGTTACTGAAGAAATTCCCACTTTGGAAGTTCTACAGTTCTAAAGACTGTAGAAAATTCAGAGCATTTCTCTCATCATCATGGTGGCTGTCAGCATGGGAAACATGGCTTAGGAAGGAGGTTTGATTTGTCACCTCAGCCTGCTCTCCCTGGGGAAGCTTTTTAGTTTATTTAAGTTGTCCTTCCCAATTTGAAACTTGGAATTGAAGCTAAATTAGCAACTGGGGGCAGGACAGTGACTGCATAGACAGGTGTTGACTTGCCCTCAGAGCTGTAGGCACCTGGGTGATTTCCAGCTCTCTCAGCCTACAGGTAAGGAAACGGAAGCACTGAATTGAAGCTGAGGGATGCATTTTGTTAAGATTGGACATACAGTAGATTTTAATTGTGTCCACATTTAACTGCATATCAGACATTACTAGGCGTTGTAGTTCAGTCTGTTTTAATTTCAAATAACACAGACCCACTTTTTCTTTCTGTTCTTCTCCTTCCCAACAGGGGCTCCCTATGTAGCCCCAGCTGGCCTTGAACTTGAGTCTTCTGCTTTATCGTGTCAATGGGTTTACAGGCATGCACACTATGCCAGGCTTTAAGATACATCTATAGGGTGGTCAACATGGCTGAGCAGGTAAAGGTGCTTGCCATCAAGCCTGATGACCTGAGTTTGATCCCTGGAGCCCACATGCTGGAAGGAGAGAACAGATTCTCACAAGCTGTCCTTTGATTTCCACACATGTGCTGTGACATACACAGACAAGATAAGTAAGTAAATGTAAAATTTAAGCAGCTGGAAAAGATGGCTCAGTGGTTAAGAGGACTCACGTAGAGGAGCCAAGTTTAGTTCCCAGTACCCACATGGCAGCTCCAGTCCCAGGGAATCTGTTGAAGCCCTTCTTAGGCTTCTTTAGGCACCAAGTACACACATGTGCATAGACACTCAAGCACAAAATAGAAACAAAAGTTTATAAAAAGATACCATTCTTCTTTTTAGAAATCGTGTGTGTGTGTGTGTGTGTGTTGTGTGTGTGTGTGTGTGTGTGTGTGTGCGCGCGCGCGCGCGCGCGCGCACACACACACACACACACACACACACACACACACACGTGAGTTCAGGTGCCCTTGGAGGTCAGAGACATCAGACTCTCCTAGAGTTGGTGTTACAGGTGGTTGTGAGCCACCCAGTTTGGGTACTAGAACTGTGCTTGGTCCCTCTACAAGTGCAGTTTATGCTATTAGCCACTGAGGCATCTCTTTAGTCCCTGACATTTATCATCTTAATTTTTGTTAGTGCTGTGGGCCAAACTCAGGATCTCACATATCCCAGGCTCGGGCTCTACTGCTGAACGGTGTCCACACTGAGCCATTTTGTCTATTGGTCACAGTATGAAGGCTCCTGTCCAAGTGAGAAGTAGCATGTGATGTAAAACATATAGCAATCCTAAGCTTTTTAGTAAAGCAACATAAACAGCAAATCTTTCTCCCAAGATTACAATGTAGTACCTCCTATGTTTTCCAAAATAGTGGTAAGAAATGTAGATGTTAACAAACGGATTGATGTAGCTTACTTTTATATCTGATTATTTTATGGCTTACTGTGTACCATTTAAAAGATTTTGTAGAACTTACAGGAAATTCCAGGATGGGGTAACATATCAGGGAATATTTATGTAGCGTTGGTCATATGTGCAGCATCTCATAAAGAAGGTAGCCCCAGAGAGGACCGGCCAATTGCTTTGAAGGATGTTGATTTGGCTGTTTCTGGGAGTGTATGGAGGAAGGTGATCTCTAGGGCAGCCATGTATCTGCAACTTAAATCAGTTATGTGAACCAGGGAGGAACTTGTTATTTTAATTTTGAAAAATATTTT